ATAGCTCAAGCAGTGTGACCCTTTAGTAACAAGAAGCCTCCCAGGAGGGAGCGAGCCTCCTTAGGGTCAGCCCCTCCTGGCCAACAGGTGGGAGGGACTGAGAATCCAGGTGTCTACATGCAGCTGAGCGACGTAGGAAACCCTGTTTTTCAATCTTTCACAACAAGGTCCTTGCTCTGGGAGACCCATCCGTGGTGCCGACCTGCCCCCATCCTCCACCGACTCAGAGGAAGAAATAAACAGCTTTAAACCTCCAACAGGATTAAAGTTCCTCCAAGGCCTAGGGTGTCCCTGCACCTGAGAGCTCAGGGTTTCCAAGGCTACCAAATTAAACCTGCTGCTCCCCCCAGCTCCTTCCTCCAGGGGTGACCTCAAGACACCCAAGCTGTCCTGGTCACAGCCTCCCTCTCTGGTCCACTTCACAGAACATCTGCTTTCCCTGGTTCCCGGGCGACTGCTGCCCTTAATCACAGTAACTTCTCACGCTTAGAAGCACAACTCTAACTAGTACTAATGCCAATATTTTTATTTCAAATCTATTCACTTAAAGTCAAAATGACATCTTAATGCCACTCAGCTGAACAATTTGCCCAGAGTGAGAAGAGAGCTTCATGTTTTAAGAGATTTCCTGCTAGATTACAGACCACATTTTTTTTTTAATTAAAACACAGGGATTGTCTTCACAAACTCTTTCTGAATATTTCATGTGTTTGGTGCTTTATTTGCTGTACGTTTACCACAGTGTGCACAGTATTCAAGTATTCCTAACAGATGGTCTCCAAGTGCTACATACTATATAGCGTTAAGTGAATAGCTTGGTAAACAAATGAGTCAAGGATTAAAATATGTTACAGTTTATAAATCATGAAAGATGTTCAATAACAGTACATTAGTAAAAAAACTTTACATGTAAACATAAAAGCATTAAATACTGCTATTGGATCAGTCAACTGTTTCAAATCAATTGTTTCTTTAAAGAGGTGCTCATCCTATAGTCTCAGATTATAAAAAATTAAATTAATTTGAGGTTGGCAACCAGTTGACCTGAGAGCCTGGCCTACTACTTGCCGCCTTCACCACCCAGTTCCCCAGGCTTTCTCTGCCATGTCCCCCTCATTCATGCCTCCTCCATTACTAGGAAAGGCAATGAAACTCATAAGCCAGCTTTGTTACTCTTTAGGCTAACTTCAGCAAAATTCGGCCGAAAGTGGTTGAAAGTGCAGGTTCCGGCTGAGGACTCACTCAGCTCGGTTTCCACGTGCTCTCTAGTTCCCTTTCTCCAAGAGGCCACTCTAATGTTGGGCACTGAAGTTTCCACCGAGGGTTTGCGTGATGATTAAAAGAAACAAGACAAAAAGCCCACGTCCAACCAATTTTGCCCGTGTTCGGATGTCTCTGAATCCATCTTATGCTGTTAACGTTCTAGTCATTATTCCACCGAGGAATAAAAACCAATACAATTCTCTCCTATTGGAAGTTCTCTCATACCACCCTGATTTTTCTCTTATTCAGCATAATGCATCATGGCCTTTTCCTAATCATCTGATGTAAGATCTAACAAGACTTGTTCCATTTCATTCTAGATTTCCCTAGAAATGAGAACTTGACCCAGTTTTGATTAAGATAATTATCGTAAGCTTTTAATGAACTATTTGACAAAATGATCGTAACTAGCAAAGTTACAAAGTGCCTGTGAAATAAAACCTCTCACTTCAAGTCACAAGTTGGCTTCACTCGTTATATTAAAGTTCATTGCCCGATTTCACACATACGTTAAAAAACTTGATTCTACCGCATTCCATATGTGGTTGCAGTCTCTTGTTTCCTTTCTACACTAATACCGTTTACCTCAGTTTTAAAGGCCTCTGTGAAGCTAAGAAAGATGCCCTGGTTAACCAAGCTTGGCCTAGTCACAGCAGAACAAAAAGACACTCTTCTGGTGGTTTCAGATTAAGGCTCGTGTGCAGTTCTGCTTTCTCAATAGCTGTGTGCAATCTTACTGCACAAACAAAACATCACAGCAACGAGTCAACACTACTGCTTAGGAATCTACTCTGTATAATGTATAGTGTGTATCTCACGAATATTTTATCTGTATCAAAGTTTCATCAGATTTGAAGTTTCTTTAAAATACAAAATATTCATTTCATCAAAAACATATAAAGATAGATTCATAAATCAGGACTGGCAAGGAAAGTTGTATTAAGTCAAAAAAAGGATCCATTTAAACTACATTAAGCTGGGGGGAAGAAGGGGCAGACGTACCTCTAGAGTTTCTGACGCAGTAGGTCCTGAGAGTTTGCATTCTAACAAGCCCCCAGGTGATACCGTCATTGCTGCTCTGGGACGACACTTTGAGAACCAGTGACCTAACCCATCTGCCTTTCCTGATCTGGCTGGAGTCCCATGTAGAATTTTAAATGGCTGGTGTACAAGATCAACCTATACAATCAATGACCGTTATATTTCAATTGAAATATGTATTTTATATCCTAAAAAAAATCACATGAAAATACACTGACTTGGTATCACTGGCAATTGTCATACATGGTATGTGATTTGACCTTAACTCAGCACAATACTACGTGCTAAATTGATCTCTGGGATCCTAATCGCTTTTGCAGTTTTTATCAGAAGGCAAGACCATTATAAATAAGATACTGAAAAACCATAATTACCACAAAGGGTGTGTATCAGATCCTAAGCTAACCTTCCAAAAGGCTCTAACCCTAGAGCAGTGGCCCTCGGACTGTAACTCACATTCCCTGCGCTGCTCCCCCTCTTAAAAGCCTCTGCACCATCAGGCTCAGGGGCAGGCAGACCTAGGAAAGGCGTTCTGTCCACTGTAGTAAGAACAGTTAACGTGAGCTCTGCCCTCTTAACAAATTTTAAGGGTGCAGTACAGCAGTGTTAACTATAGGCACCATGTTGCGCGGGTGTCTAGAACTTACTCACCTTGCACGACTGAAACTTTATAGTCGCTGAATAGCTCCTCCCTGCCCCCCTCCCCAGGCCCTCCCAAGTCTTGAGCGGTGCTTCCGTCTTACACGTCACACACCCCTGACACGCCCCCAGGCCAACCCACTTTATGATGAAACACAAGATCATTTGTGGGGGAAGGGAACTCCACTCCGCCTTTTTCTGACGATGATGACGCCTGACGGGACATCAGGGATGGTGACTCACTGAGGAAGACTGCACACTGGCGGCCTGCAGGGTTTTCTGTTAAAAAAAAATGAATCAGTTGCTAACATTTGGAATTATTTCACATAAAAATCTGTATCTCCAGGTTCTCTGGAAAAATCAGGTTTAGAACCCTGGTATTGCGGACATTTCCATCTGAGCAGCATGAGCTGGGGCTGAAAAGCCGTTGTCCCCCTTTGGTGGGGGAAATGGGCCCTCCAGATCACCCCTGTTCTTAGTGATCCCTGCTCTTCCACACCTACTCTGTCTTATCGCCCCCCGCACCCACCTGGCTCTGTAACAAACGTTTGAGGTTGCAATCCCTGCACTAAGGTGTGGCACAAACAAGAGAGTTTGCTGGGAACTGAACATAACCAGTCTCTGTCTCATATGCTTTCCTGTCGTTCGCCAGAGCACAAGAGAATGCGACATTATAATAGTGATGATTTTTACTCTGCTCCAATGTATTTTAAAAAATCATTTGCGAACTTTGCTTCTAATATTAGTTAACAAACTGGACCATATCTCACATTTAACCACAACACACTGCTGGAAACCTCTGAGAGAGACATTTGACTTCGTGCTTCCCAGCATACATTCTGTTTTTTTGAGAACGCCTAACACATGATGAAACCTTCAAAGTTTTAAGAATCAAATTTCAGGGGGAGAACAGATTCAAGCACTTCCAGGTTCATGTAGTTATATAAGAATGTTGCTTGTTAAGTATTGACTCTGTACAACCGTAAAACTGAAAGCACGCCATTTTGCGTTATCATGTAAAATTATTTGGCGAAAAATGGAGAATCCAGGTCACAAGCCCATTACTTTGAAAAGCTGAATGAAAACATTTCTGAGATGGCACTGCCTTGAAAAAAAACCTGTGTGGAAAATGGCCATTTCAATAGAATGGTAACTTTCTACTCCCAAATCACCCCAAATATCTCTGTCTCAGCAGACTAAGGAAAAATAAACGCGTGTGCCGTGGGGAAGCAGAAAGGGGAACGATCTAGAGAAGCACCTTGGGAAGTGAAGGGATATGCGCCTCTAAAACGAGTGCAACGAGAGACGAGGCAGGTGCACCGGTCCGTGGAGAAACCCCCCGCTCCGAGTGTGCACCCTCAAGACCACCACGTGAGGACCACATCTCATAACGGAGAATAACACAGCTGCCTCATGCACTGCCGTATCCACACCCGCACCATCACCCCAGCGCTTGGGTCCCTGGTTCCCTCAGACAGCAGGCAGGACGGGCGGGGCTACACTTGGACCGCGGGTTGAGAGGGCGGGAAGGGGTGATTAGTTGAGAGGTCTCTGCCATGAGCCAGACGATAAAAAATGGTGAGAAGTGCTGCGAGATTGCTAACTCGAGTCTAGAGTTCCGCACAGACTTTCTGTTAGTTGTCTTAAATTTCCCCTGAAAGCCTGTCCATCCCTTACCTTACAGGGTTGTTGTCAACAAAGGAAATAATGCATAAGGAGAAAGCACTCAGCAGAGGCCTCTGCCTCTGTATTACTCCTCAGATGGCATTTTCTACCAAACCGCGAGCTCTGTCCCTGCGCGGGGGTGTCTCACACACAAAGGACATTCTGCACCCAGGTGCTGAGCAGCGTCCGCGCCGAGGTACAAGCCACTCTCCGAGTGACTTTTCAAAACTATTTTCATAATGAAGTGAGCCTGTAGGTCTTACAGAATACTTGCTGCAATGCATCAAAAAAGATGCATTCTAAGTACTGTAGTTTTAAAAGACAAGGAGGGCGCATGTACAAATGCATAGTCACGCTGTTTTATCTGAGATAAGAAATTATGACAACCAAAATAAGATTAAACACTTTTAATCAACTACAATAAACCAATAATCATATATTATATAAAATTCTGATTCATGCATCAGATTACATAAATTATACAACTGTCACATTATGTAATGCTTACATACCTTTGAGTTTGTACCTACAAAAAATGTATACAAGTTACTAGAGCATTTTACTTAATAAGTGTTAATACTCTTCAGTTATAAATAATGCTTGTCTCTTTCAAATACCTGCTAAATATATACATTTCTAGATCTGCAGCATTTTTTTTTTTGTACCTCAAAATACCAACCACCTGGAAGCTCGAAGATTGCTAGGCCCAATGTACCGTTTGTTACAGACTTCAATTCCATTGTAAGAGTGGATTTTTTGACATGGAAAGTAAATGAAGTAAAATGTCAACTCTAGTTAACTGCTTGATGAGCTTCTACACTTCTTATTAAATACATCAGAGAACACTTCATATTCAGATTAATTAGTTAAGGTGCTACCTATTGCATATTAAATACTTCCAATGACTGCATCTGGATTCTTAAAGTCGTAAGTCTGTGAAAAGGGGGGCTTTCAGTGTGTGCTGACAGACTCTTCCATCTACGATCATGAACCAGCAGCACCGCGATCCTTTCCCTTTAAGCTCACAGAGATGGAGGAATGAACATGCTTCCTATTTCGCTTACACACACACGAGTGACATCAACCACGTCTACTGGACACGTGAGCACGCGGACATCAAAAAGTTTCAGCCTGCTTTACAAACCGAAGGTAGGCTGCTTTTCCTAAAAAGCTACAGAGGAAAACAAAAGCTCTAGTGTAACAGTTACTCGAAATACTAAAGACAACAATTTTTTTTTTTCCGGAGATTCTCCTTGCTAAAGAATAAGCATCCTTATGGGATGGTCGGCAGAGGGACATGGGGCTGGAGGAGGTGGTGAGGAAAGCAAGTCTGTCACTCACGAGCTGAGTTTTACTGAGGTTTCCATTCATGAAACCCTTTTAACTACAAGGCAACAGTTTCACAGCCAGAAAATTACAAATAAATCTTCATTTACTGCTAAAAGCAACAGATGCAGTTATGTATAATCTATGGATAATACTACATTCATGGGAGGATGACAAAACCAGGCTGAATGCAGAATACAGCAGCAGAAAGCAATACTGAAATATTTTCCGTGACCAGCACTGTATGTACAATCCTATGATGTACTCCTGGGAAGTCAGTAAATGAACTTGAAGCACAAGTGAAGGAAAGTATGTTCAATACTTTCGAGCTGAATTTTAGAACTGGGAGGGGAACTGGTTGTAAAACAATACTGCTTTTAAAATATTAGCAGAAGTACTTTAAATTATGTAACAGAAATATGTCAGCTTAAGACAGGTGTGAGATTATTATAAACCTCACAATTTAAAAAAATCCTCTTACTGGTGGAAATATTTTTGAGCATGCCTTTTTTAAGCTTAAGAGGAAAAGTAACACATGTCTATAAGTCTACTGTGTTGTACATTATTTAATGAGTACATATGTTTTATTTCCATTTCTAGCTACTAACAAATACCAATGGAATACGTAAAAGTTATATTTTGGAAAAATAAACTAATGCGATCTTTTTGGCTTTTTCTACAATGAGTGATATTAAAACTACTCTATGTGCCCTTCTGCCAAACACAGGTAGCACTAATATGTTTACTTAGGAACTCATTTTTACTTTTTGTCTTCAGTCCATTATACTGACTGATTATGGAAATATATAGTAAGTTTTACTCTAGGTCGTGAGTGAAAGAAAGTTTATCAAGATGGGAACAGAACATTTCAGGCAGTGATAAATACAGATTTAGTTTTCAGTACAATTCTTATCTCAAAATTAAATACAAAAATATCAATGCAGTTATAACCAAATCATTCACATATGGATGTCTAATCTTTAACAGTTTTTATACAGGGAAAAAAACTCTCTTTAACAATGAATTTCCTCATAAAAAGAACACTAGCACTCGAACCACATTCTTTCATGAGCTCTATTCACATAAAACATAGCCCCAGTACAACACTGCCAGCCTGGCTCATTCTACCAAGAGTAAATTTGGCCAGAGCATATTAAAGTATCTGTAGATAATCTGTCATAATACTGAAAACACATGGATTTTAGTATTTTAAAAAGCATAAGAGCTTCAATTATACCAAAAAGAGAAAAAAAATGCTAAGAATTTTGTTAACATTTAATAAATGCTAACTAAAAATGGCACCACTTTCAAAAGTAATAATTACCAAGACCTCAAATGAGAAAATAAAATTCTATACCACATTATAAGGTTTATTACAAAAATTTGTAAGTAGAGGAAAAGCTATTTTTCCTTCTCCATTTCCTCATTTTAAACATTATCTAATTTTTTGTATTTGGGGAAAATTTTCAGAATTTCAAAGTGTATGCTCTCATAGGAAAACTAAAGAAACTCAGAAAATACAAGTAATAAGAGATTTTAGCTTATGAATATAAGCTTGGCCAAGTATTATCTGATTTAAAATACTAAACTGAACAAAACTATTATATGTGCTGTCTATTTAACTTTCAATGAAGTCTTAGCGATAAATACTAGACAATAAAGCAGTTTGGTAAAGGATTGGGGAACATGTATCTCCACATACAGGTGAATTTTTCATTTTAAATTCAGAAGACAGATTCAGTATTTCATAGTAAGTATTTTAGACTTTAAAGGCTAGAAAGTAAGCAGTAGATTATTAGTAATATTTTTATATCATTGTTTTACACTTTAAATCATAGATGAATTTTGTACACATATATAAAGGTAATTCATGAGTAGGCAACATTTTGGGGTAGCAGGCTTTAAAAAAAGCCAACATACAGTTTTGTGATCAATCAATTCTCCAAAGGTGGACATGGAGAAGTGTAAAATGTTGTGCTTAGTAAAGATCTGTTCTGAAAACTCATCCCTCCTTCAGTAACTTTTATTTTCGTTCGGAACCCAAATGTAACCATCTGTTCGATTATTTACGTGACCTGAAGCCAAGCCTAATTCTTCATTCCTAGAATCTGCTCATTGTTTTGGGTTATCAGGCATCAGACAATCACCTACTTTCTCCCCCTGAATTATCTTCAGATACAGTTTCCTAGTATCTTCTTTGTTAACATTTTAAAGACATTCAGAATCTCAACAAATTACATTTGCTTATCTTCTGCGTATAGCTCAAACAAAACTCAAATGTTAAGATAAAAATTCAAGAAATTCATGCTATTGCAAAGTTAATGACGTTTCCTAAAATATGTCATTCTTAAAAAAAAAAAAAGGACTCTGGATCATTACTTTTGGAGAAAGAAAAAAATCTGTTGTTGGAATAATATACAGTAGCAGCTTGTCCTGAAACCAAGGTTCACATAGTCAAGAGTGATTTGAAGCAGCTTCTCTATAATAAGCCATTATAGTAGCAATGATGATTTGTTTTTGCATCGATAGACTACACATATATTTTCAAATTAAGAAATTGGTATCCTAATTTTAGAGGCAACTAGTTGTTTTTAAATGTTCCCAAACACATGTATATATGAGGTATATGCATGTATTTTATATACAGAATACATGAACAGACATTCATGTACATATGTATGTATATAAAATATGAACTTCTTTAAGTAGTGTTTATAATGAGCAGTATTCCTATAGCAAAACGTCTACAAATTGACTTCTGAGAAGCCAACCCCAGTATCAATCCTGCTTTATGAGAAATCTGTTCCTGAGGAATAAGTCATGTACTTCTAAAGAAATTTCTAGGCCTATGGCAGATTAGTGGGCCAGCACCTGTACCGAAGTGAATCCTAAGGAACTGCTTATTCATCGAGAATCTGGCCCATTTTCACTTGAAAGGTTTAAATGACTTAGCTCACTTCAAAGGTCACTCTTGAAAGTCCCTGCTAATACTTCTAAGTAAAACACTTTTTCACAATGAAGGAGAGTGTGTAATGGAACCTGATAGTGGAGTCTCTTTCAGTAACAAGCTTTTCTCCCTCTCCTCCTTCCTTTCTTTGCTCCCCAGTGATAAACGCAGCATCATTGGCTTATTAACTATTGGCGAACTTGCCAGCCTTCCTGGACGGCTCGTACGGCACCCTGAGGATGCTGGGCGTCTCCTCCATGACCCGCACGAGGAGGTTGTCGATGTAGTCCTCCAGCTCCCGGATGTGCGTGTCCCTCCTCCTCAGGAGCTCCTTGTGCTTCACCAGCTCCTGGAGGACCTCCTCGTAGGTCAGACTCCGATAGCCTGCAGCGGCGTCGAAGGGGTTGCTGTCCTAGAACAGGATCAAGACTGTCACTTTAACAGACGGAATATCAGGGACAAATTAGCAATTCTTTTGAACTTCAACTTTTTCAATCCCCCCCAACTTTTTCTCTATCCTTGGCTAGAACTAATGTGACAGTTCACAGAATGGCCAGCCAGTTCTCAGGAAAGGACTTTCGTGCATATGCACCAAAGCCCCGATTACAACTCTAAATTCTTCTAAAACCGTGTTTACATCATGCACAATGTCCTAGTATAAGAAATTGACTACATAACTTAAGATTGAATTAAGAGATAACACGATCTATAATAAGTATAACTAAAATAGACAAACCCAAAAGATCTGGAAGAATTAACTTGTATGGAATGTAAGACTCTATTGAGAACCATACATTTGGACATTAGTCCTCACAAAATTGCTTCCATTGGACTGTAGTTTAATGTTATGCCTTTGCCTTTTTACTGAAGACGGTTACAAGAAACAGCAATATCAAATCTGCTTTTCCAATCTGTTATCAAACGTTGAAGATACTCAGAATTAAATTCATGAGCATCCTTATAAGAAGCTCCACGAGAGTAACTATGTTTTAAGTCAGAGGCAAATAGACCTTTTTCTCTCCTGAGTAACTAGTCTATTTCCTCCTCCTAGTACTAATACCTAAACATTTTATTTCCCTTTTTGCGTTGGTTGTCAGGAAGCTCAGTGCTCAACTATGGTCATGTTAACATTTAAGATTAGTATATCTACATTCTCTCATTTCACTTGTTTTGTTTAACCTTACTCTATTGGTAAAAAATCCTTTTACATAAAAGAAAGAACATAAACCAAAAAAAAGGCATTGACTTAACTAATTTTTATCAAAAAGTATTCTAATATTAAACGAAAAATATTTCTCAGGAATTTAGTCAAATTTAGTCAGCACTATAACATCATCTATTTAAAGTGTATAATATTTAGATTTTTTCACTATGTAAAATATAATGGCAAAATACAAAGTAGCAATCTTTGTGCTTTTTAAACTCAACAACTTAAAATGGTTTTCATCACTTTCTTTTAAAACATTTCCATTTGGCTTTAAAGGAAATAAACTAAAATACTGAGGAAATTGTTCTTGCTCTTAAGGACCAACAGTATCTTTTCTACTCAGTGGAGGATGAAGAGTAAGGACTGGTGAATGTAGAAAGGCCTTTTTTTTTGTTGCAGAAATTAAATCCATCTTCACACATTTTCAGGATCTACATTAATTTGCTATGTGTCTAGGAGCCTTCATCAGTAAAGCCAAAGTGTAACTTTTCACCTCTGCCTCCCCCAGGCACCATGGCTTTCCTAACCAGAAAAACAAGCTAGAGTACAGGTATCAATTTGATGCTTGCATTACCTACACACACTCCTTTCTCTAGGATAAAGGGGGAAAAATTTCAGGACTGAGGGCGTCTCTAATCCGTAAAGACCCTCAGGTTTTATACAGAAGACACAGCTTGCACTAGGTCTGCAGAGATTTCACCCGGCAGAAACGCGTACTGGGCATCTCAAGCAGTGGGCTCCGTTTGCTCAAAGGAGGAAGCAAAGTTCAAGGCACGGTGGGTCAATAAAGGTGATCAACAGAGGAGGGCTAGAAAATAAGGTTCGGGGCAGGACACAGAGAGGCTGAAATGGTGGTTCCAAATACACCATCAAGGATGTCTAATGCTATTAAATTTTTGCTATGGGAAATAGAAAACCCCTTGAAAGGTTTCTAAACAAGGAGAGGCGATTAAAGCTAAGTTCTAGGAAAACGGCAGCAGTGGGTAAGATCATTTGGAGGGACTGCGATTAGTTACAAAGCCATTTAAATAGTAAAGACAAGAGTTAATAAGAGCCTCTGCTAGAGTAACAGAATACAGAGGATGCTAAAAGGAAGTTTCTGTAAGATGTGTTTACAATGCCTTATTTTAGCATCAGAAACTGGGAACAGATACAACTTTGTGAGCTGTATTACCTTTGTCCCCAGACATTTCAGAACATTGCTCTACAACAACCGAAGGACAATTCTGGTGAGGCGTGTGGCTTTACTTTTTATTCTCTTCTCTTTTGGATCAATCAATCTTTTGTAAAAGTACACACACATGTATTTATTAGTTTATTTAATTGGTCATGAGTAGTCTAGAGATATAAAACTTACAATTTCCTAAACACATTCTTATTAATTATTTTACCAAGCAGATTTCTATAGAAAAGATAAGACATACCATTAAGGTAAGTATATTTTAAACATTAATTCAAAATAAGCTAAAGTTTCTTAATTTAACCTAAAGAATTCTGCACAAAATTTGAGACAAAAACCAGCCTAGGTCTTACTTTTCTTCCCTGATAAGTGAGATGTTCTTCAAGCTCCCTTTCAACTCTAACATTTCCCAGTCTACAAAGTGATTTTTCTGAACTGCATTTTACAAAAGTAATAATGTCCCACTAATGTGATTTTTTTCAATAAGACATTTATTGAAAAATAGGAGTTCTTGCAAGAACTTCAGGGATTAATGAAATTAAACTAAATGGGATTCATTACTGATGGATTGTTTTACTTTTTCCCCTTAATTTAACATAATATTATCAGATTGACTCTCTCTAATCTTAATCAAATTACACATATATGAACTGATTTCTCCAAACTAATTAAGTGATAATACACATTTACTTTGTTACATTTAACACCATACCAGTACTACCAGAGAATGTAGTTAAAACAGCTTTTTTAAAAACATTTCTCTAAGTGAGGATGAAAGACATGTCAAAAAAATTCTTATTTTGACATAAGTAGTTTAAATTAATGCCATGATATAATTAAAAAATTTAATCTTTCCAAATAATCAATTACTATCCCAGAATAGTGTTCAACACTTTACAGCCATAATCTACTTTTCCCCTCACAACCATCTAATACTTATGGATAAACAGATTTCTTACAAATTCATTTCTGACCTTTCCAATAAATTTTCCATTTGTCCTTTTGTATGAAAATTTTACTCCAAATTTCTGCATCCAGTTTCTAGGCAAGAAAACATCTTAGAAACACATGTACTAATAAACTATCTTCTGGAGAAAGATACAAAATAATTTAAAAGTTTTGCACTTAGTTCCTGATTTTATCCCATATTTGAAATCATGTAAACTTTCTAATTTTAGGCATAAGACTCTTAAATTGAATAATATACTCAATAAATATATCTATCCTTCTGTTTGTTGATTTAATTCCAAATAAAATAAAGATTAATATTAACTAATACATACAATAGGAAATTAAAATATTTTCTGGTTATAAAAATTACTTCACACAAAGAGGGAAACTCTCAGGAAAATATAAAAATTAATTATTTTTTTCTAAAGATAATTTTCATACTATTCTTGGAAAAACTAAAATTGAGAAATCTCCAAACTGGTAGACTCAAATAACCTACCATGGGACTCCTAAGTACTCAATAGTCTTTCCTCCAGCACTCCATATAGATGGCACGTATGTTTTTAAGATGTCTTCTTCTACTGAAATTCAATGTAAATTTTTCTTCTCTCTTCCCCTTTCATAACCAATCCTTTTCCATTCCTCCCCAACCTCTGTTAAAAATCTTCCTATGCAGATATAAGAAAATAAGAGTTGGGTGAGAGAACAAAATTATTACATGAAGTTTTCTAATCGGAATTTTAAATAACAGCTGGGCAAAAGATTTTGAGAATTACTGGGATCTATTTTTACTTTACTCACAGTCTAGCCTAGGAAATGTATATTTTTTTTACAATATTTAAATTTCAACAAAAGCAAATTATCAAGACTCAAAATAACTGAAGATTTAAAGAAAGGCTGTCCTGGTAACTAAATATTGGTGGGGCACTAACTGACACCCAAGGCAACGAGAGGGGAGAGAGAGAGAAGATGAAGGCTTGGCATTCTCTGATCATCTCATTATTGTTCTAATGAGGAACTTTGCTCTGGGAATATCATCTCAGCTACTTTCACATCTTTTGTCCTACTCCCTTCATCTCCCTTTCAGTTCTTAATTAGGCCTTAAAGAGCTCACACTGCCCTTTCAACTGGCTACTGCTCCTGTTTAAACACTGCGCTTTCACAGACAGGTGTTGGCACTAGCATACAAGACATACAAACTTAATTACAAAATACTACGTCCAGAAGGGGAAAAAAAAATAACTTGGTGGATGGCTATTACTGGAGAACTTAATGTAAATTACTTCAAACATCTTATAATCTTCAACATAAAACTTGTTCAAATACTTTTCCTCAATAACGATCAGTGTGAGGACGAGCTTTCTCCTCTTAATTGTATCTTGCAGGAAATTAACGGCACCTAGTAATGCTTTAACTGTCATTTAGAATAGTTAGTATTCCGCAGAAAAATAATCACACATCAAGGATTCTTTTATCACCTTTAAATCCTTTAACTAAAACAATTTTCACATTTTATTTCTTTAAAGAATTCTAAAGATGCTTTTACAGCAATAAATTACAAGATTTGGAAAAGTACATTTACAAGCACATAGAAATTGTAATTAAGGTCATTTAATAAACAATAGCTGTGCATTAAATCGATTTTTTGATGTTGCATTTTGTTTGAGATTAAGTAACCGCCTGATAGAATTCATTTTACTATCTGATCAAAGGCTGACTTCATATATTCTGACGTTTCTCGCCAGACTGCCATAATATAAAGACTTGGGTATTTATGAAACATCAAAACGTACAAATCATTTACATAAAACAACAAAAACACAGTACAAAGTCCTCTGCCTTTATAATGTTTCCTACCATTTTCCAGACAAATAACTACATTCAGAATGGTTTATACAGCACCATGGATTCTTCTAGGCATATCACATCATAGAAAATGATGATACGTTACTGCTTTGAAAAATTCTTATTATACATCTGGATCACACACATTAAGGACAGATGGTTCAAACAGCAACCAACAGTCTCTTGAAATAAAGGCTCTGTTTCTGTTATTCAGTGAGAATTTAGTTTTCCCACCAAGACATGCACGCTTATGTTTGTAAAGTAACTTATTCTCTACGTTTAATATCGTATTTTTAATTGACTGAAGATGCACTGAAACTTTGAACAGAGATACAAAACTGGACTTTAAATAGCAATAAAATGAAGTTGAGAAATCTGGATAATCCTTGCAAAACATGTGAGTTAATTCAGCTGTCCATACCAAGGCTAATATATTTAGTTTTGTTCTGACTTGGAATGTAAGGGTCCTAAAGGTTCTTTCAAATACATGATCCTGGGTAACTGGACCTCTTGCCAGGATGCTTTTCTTATTGTTAAATGTTAACACGCAGTTTCATTCTTCCTTCAGTCTTCGTCACAGCAACAACAACATGCTAGTTTTCTCCACAATCTCTTATTTCATAACCATAATATTGACCTTGACATACAGCTTTCATATTCATTTTAAAACAGCCTGCGAACAACATTTGTATATTTCAAATAGGCTTCGATTATAACTAAGTTTGCTTACACCTCCACAGATCATACAGAAGTCATACCCTATGGTATACTGAAGATAAAATCTGAATTTTGCTTTTCTTCTTTCTCCTCAAATGACCATACTAAGCTATAATCCGTAAGTAGCTGAGGGATTCAAGGAGACAGAGGCCTTTTTAGAAATGGGTGCCAGACGGAAAGACAGCTTGTGGCTTGGTTTTTAGTAATTCTCTAACCCCTTTGCAACTTACCGGGATTTTCCTGAGGTCTTCGTTGCTTGTCGGATTCATATGAAAACTGAAAATTAAGACAAACATAAATGTTAAAAGTGTATCATTGTCTACATGGGAGAAAACATGAAACCGGAACATTTTAACCAACATTGCAATAACAATTTCTAAACTCCTACGTTACCTGACTGAGTGAAATTTAATCTAGGATGTAAAAGAAAAACAGTATTTACTCAACATTCTGAAGCACTTATAATTTTAAACTTTGAAGGAAAACCCTTCAGTTATTATTAGAACTGAAGAACTATGCCTCTAAATATGTAGTTTCTAAACATCTTCAAATATAAGCGATTTTACCCAGTGAGATATTTTATAAAGTTAAATTTTGCAATGTTATTCATTTTATACACAAATACTCACTCACCTTTTGCCTTCTGATATAAAGCTATGGAGAATTAAATAAATTTAGGTTGGAAAGACTATAGAATCAAAGAGCTGAAGCAATCTTTCACAACAATTATTTCTATAGGTATTAGAAAAATTATCCTTTAAATGTTACATCCTGTCAAGGAGAATGAATTCAGAGCTGTGTGAATCATTTCTGTCATTAGAGGATTTCTACGTAGCTGACCTGCAAAATTTAAATACCCAAATGGACCAAAGCAAAATGGATTTCTTCCATGTAGGGAGTAGGAAAACATCACAGCTGAATGCTATAATCATCTTCTTCTTTGAAACATGTCCATTAGGAAGGGGACTGCAACCCAAAAGAAGCTAAACTTCAAAGCCATCTGATGAGTAAATATTTCATCGTTGCTCTTCAAGTTTAATTTTTACCCAGCACTTAAGAGTATTAGCCATTAGAACCTCTACAAAGCGTTACTGTCCTAGGAACCTTTTTATTAAAAAGAGAAACAAATTAAGTGTAAAATATATTTTTTCATTATCTTTCCTTTATGGCCACATAACTGGAATCCTTTGAAGAAATTCACTTTCAAAACTTCTGATTGTGTGCACAAAAAGTCTGGACACTGAAAAATACCTATTATAATGAGTACATATCCCAAGCTGCAAATCGACAGGGCATACACACACGTACAATCCACATCAAGAGAATTTCTCACATATCCAAGGTTTCATTTGTTATGACTAAGATTTGCAGTACCAGTTTCCAGAACCGGCTGCTGACCTCTTCCACCTAGAACTCCCGTGGGTAAATCTAGTGTCTCAGCAGAGCTGAGTGACATGGTAGGAAAGACTGTAACATTTTAAATACAGTGCACCATCTAACAGACTCACATGGCTGACACGCTTTCTCACTCCGTCTCTCACCATCTTTATGGTGTTCCGTGTGGCCCCAGACTAGAGTCACTTACTAGCAAAGCCTCAAGAGCCTGACAAGAGTGGCTTGAAAGAAAACAAAACAAAATCCAAAAGACATCACCTAGGCCGAGAGTGCCATGAGGGCAGATGATGACACATGCGGTTCCCGTCCGCCCCAACTTCCAGTCCAAGGAGGTCGACATCAGGGCCCGGGGGGGGGGGGGTCTAGTCTCTCCTTGCCCTGCTATCTCGCAGCATGTGGTTCTCTAAGAGATCAAGAAATACGTTCTGCTGCACCTCTCTCCATCCGACTGTGATATTCTCGAAGACAGAATGATGTACACCCAGCTTGACAGCACACCACAGTGGCTACAAGCAGAGAAGTGGTTGAGGGCCGTGGAACCAAGTGGTGTGAACTCAAATCCTGGTTCTGCCCTCTGCTTGCTGTGTGGCCTTGAGCAAGTTACTTGCCTTTTGAGTGTGTCTGGGTTCCCTTGTCTGTAAAATGGGGATGTTAACAGTTTCTACCATGTAAGACTACTGTGAAGATTAAATAGTTTGAACATGTAAAACCTTTAGCACAGTGACTAGCAGAACATGTTCAGTAAATTATTTTATTTAATGACCATTTACATAGCACTTAGACTTTACTAGATACTGCTCTAATCACTTTACCAAAATTAACTCATTTAATCTTTATAAACTTTACGGTAAATATGATCTTCATCTTCAAAAGAAGGAAAGGAGTGACAGCGAGGTTAGGTAGCTCGTGTGAGTCGTACAGTGGGTATGCGCAGGTGGAGGTGTCTGGCTCCAGAATCTGTTCTAATTGTGACACACGGTCCCTTTTTTGCACACAGATCTACTTAGTGAGCATGCGCTGCACTGCTAAAGCTTGAACACAGAGGACACACGGATTAATCAGATGTAAACAACACCTCATTTTGCATAAGCATACAGCAGAGCTGCTGCACCTGTTGGGGGAGAGCACTCCTGAGTTAAACTTCTGGCCCACCGAGAGGAAAGAAACGTTCCACCACAGCAATTAGCTGAGAAAGGTCTAAGCCAAGGCAAAAATAGGGCTTAAAATTACGTGAAGGCAGGTTTGGCAGGTCAGAGACAGAGGACTCTGAAGACACAAGCTGTCTGGGGCTGCCAGACAGCAGTGCCATGTCAGGACATGAAGGGACTGGAACATCGGCGGCAGGGTGGCAGGCGCCCTGGGAGGGTCGTGATGCACGAGATGAGGCTCTTAGCGCTGATCAATAAACCATTTTTGGACAAATGTAAACTTTCATAAATGTTATTTAAATATTTCATACCTATCTCATCACACCCTTGAAAAATAAACAGTATTCTGCCTATATAAATTTCCTTCAATGCCTCAGGAAGATTACTGAACTAAGAAATAGAAATGCTGGGGTTACATTCATTATAATAAGGGTCTTCAAGGAACAGACATTTAGGACAAAGATTTTAACAAAATCACGAAACTAATAATATGTACTTTCTAATAGCTTTAGCCTACGAACTAAAGTGAAACTCAGTGACAACCTGAAAAGTGTCTGAGAATTCTCCAGAACGAGTAAGGTGAAGAGGTCACACTGTAAGGTGGAGGGGCGTGGAGCGCAGCGCCTGGCTCTCCGTCACTGCACCTGACTGTGATGTGAGTGCCCCTTGCTGCCCCCAGCAGCCACGGTGCGCTCTGAGGCGGCGAGGGCTCATGTGTGGGCCATTGTCTGAAATCTAAAGACAGAGCCCCTCCCTTGTGGTCGGCTTTATAGTCACAAACTGACACGTCAAACACATGACCAACTCAGTCATTCACAGCTGCCTTTTTTGATCTGTCCTTAAGGGGGAAAAAAAGAGTTAACTGAACTGGATTGAATTAGTTCGGGGAAAAATAAAATGTCTCTATTTATCGAAGTGTGGCACCAATTTGTGATAGCTTTCTCTCTGGACTGCTGTCCGCGTGTCCGACAAGATACTGAATAATATAGTCTGACTGCTCAACTGAGTTGTCGACAGGTTAAGGAAAATGGTGTTTTTAATCAGGTATGAAAATAAACTTAGACATGCTCACATTGAAAAAGTCCACACAAATGCAAACTTCAGAATTTTTAATAAAATTAATTTTTGAAATCAGAACTGAGTTTGCGGGCAGCAGAGGATTTTAAAGTAACGTTTAAATACTGATAAAAGATATTTTTAAATTCATGTTTTAAAAAATACCTTAACATTCAGCAGTTTTTAGGTTTCATAAAAGCTAATTTTTTACCCTGTGATTTTCCAAATTTTAAAGAATTTTCCCCAGTAAACTCTAAATTTTAAAATAAACAGTACTCATATATATGTATTTTGAGAAATCATTAGTTTCTCTTCAATAACATCACTTATTAATTTACTCTGAAGTTAGGATAAATACTGAGTGAACTGGTGAAACGTGAAACTGTCCTTCATTTCTGCTATGCCTAGTCTTCCACAGATAGGCCAGAGAAACAAACCAATCTTTATAAAGTGATAAAATCAACCACTGCCAGAAATCACTAAGGCATTTGGCAGTGATCAGAGTTTTCTCTCTGTCCTTCCTTTTCTCTTTTGGAACAAGAATACCTAAGAAAGAGGAGTCTATTAACAGTGAAAAAATGTGAAGTGTTTGTTCAGACAAAAAAACCACAAAAACAAAACAAACAAACAAAAAACAAGCCCACAGAAGAACAATGACCTATTAAAACTGGTTAACTAATTAACTGCCCTATCTGTGTAAGATAATGCAAACTGTGTCAATTCCTGGCTCCAGGATTTTAAATCTTTCAACAAGAAGTCACATAACAAGCTCTTTCGAAGGCATTTTTAAAAACAAGTATTATTACTTTTTTCATAATACCTCTTTCCAAGCCCCCATGTTGCTGGAATTATACAACTTGACCCATTTTGCATTTAGTAAGTGAATTCAAGTTATTTGCAAAATCCAGGAGGTGTCCCACCCGTCTCAGAGGGGGACAAAGAGAGGATGGAGTGGGTAGAGGAGTAACGTTCTCGAACACCATTCCTTCTTGTGTAGGGGAAGTAAGTGTAACTTTACAAACTATCCCAGAACTTCTGACATTCATTATTTTCAAAGGAGAATATCCTACTGATCTTGTTTAGCTGAGAGTGGGCTCTGGAGACCTGGAGCTTCACTTGGGTGACAAATGCAGTGGGGGGGAAGGATATAAAGCGAGAACTGTAACATAATATACAACCTATAATGAGTCTGAAGAGAGGAAAAGAAACATCCGCCATTTCCCGTGAAGCTAGGGCAGAGAATAATGACGGCAGGCCTAACAGCACCAGCTGATACTGGACTTGAACCGTGGTACCAGGCTCCCCGGTGAGCTCTTCACCTGTTAACCCCTGCATCCTTGCATACTCCTCCGAGGTGAGTTACAAGAGAGGATCCGGGCGCAGGGAAGAGAAGCAGCCACTGAGGAGCAGTCAAGATTCAAAGAAAAGCAGCCGAACGCCACCATCGGGGCTCTCCGGCCATAAATGCACTTCGGTCCTACTGTGAGCTCAGAGTCGGCTGGTTTCAAGGAGGCCAACACAATTTCATGAGGATTCTGCCAATCACAATGACTAAGGGAAGTGCAAGAATTAGACAATCTTAAAGAGACAGAACAAAGGCTGAAAAGCAAGAGATTTTGAAACTTTTTTTCTGTTTGTCCCTCCTGCTTCATTCTGCCCCTCCCTGCCCCCCAGGAG